GATAGAGTGCTCAAGATTCTATTGTCTGGCGTAACGTTTCGCCTTCTTGCTCTGTATTATATAATTCTTTCGCTACTATAATCAACAAAACTTTGAAAGTTTTTCTAATGCTCTTGGTTGACTGAATTACTCAAACGCTATAAGCTAAACTTCTATTAAACATGGACGTTAATGCGACTCGCTATATCATCCCCATACACCCCTCTATATAGTGTCCCTTTCCAAATATCATAGAACTTCTATTTTCATCGTCCAGCTAAAGTTCATATCCTCAAAGTTAACCTCGCCAAGCACCCGGATCTTCCTCCTCTTCAACTTGCTCCTCCAAAGCCTTTACGGCAGTATCAGCCGCATTATCGGATACTGGCATGGCATCCGCAAGCTTGGCCGCATCCGCAGTTGATCCTCCTGTATCAGCCTCCTCCTCTTCGTCCTCTTCGTAGAATTCTGACACGTCATCGGAATCTTCATATTCATCGTCTAGCTCTTCATCAACCTCCTCTTCCTGTTTGGCTTCCATCTCTGCGTCAGTACTGGCTTCACCAGGGAGCTCAATATGAGGCAAGTCACTCTTCCAATAGTTCCAGTCATTGAACTCTGGAGTGACGAGGCCACCACCGTTTATAGGGGCTGGAGAGAGTTACAACTGTAATTAGGCAAGTTTAAATATGAAGAGTAAATATTCTCAGAGCACATACGAAATATTTGGTCAACAATATCGTTCAGTTTGACGTATCTGTGACAGCGTATTCCAATTAGTTGGAACTCTCAAAACGCAACAAGATCTGTTTTAATACTTACGAAGACTTGTACTCAGCCAACAACTCTAGCTTTACGTCTCCGGCTGGGTCAATTGTGAAAATACGCGACGATGGGACATCTACACTTCTATATGATAGTGCGTCCTATCGATTCCAATAACATAATTGAGACTCATCGTCAATCGAACCAATAATATCTTACACTTTACATACCGTGATTCGATTTCCAAATCCAGCATAGAACGGCGTCCTATCTCCAAATAAGCGTTTGATGTCACGCAGACACGCCATTTTGAACTCTTCAGGTTTGCGTAGGATGACCTCACTATGGAAAGAGTTAAACATTGAAAGAGCACTCAGAGTACCAGTCCATGCCCCACGTACCGATGGAAAGAGGCAAAGAGCCGATCAGGTGACATGATGACAGGCCCTTCGGGAAGCTGATAGCCTCCCTGTTCTACTTTGGCAAGATATTCTCGTGTGGAACCAGCCTGCAGAATGGGACAATAATATTAGCCAATTTGTTAACTGCCAGGCGCTGAATGTGCACCATACCTGTCCAATGGCCCGAGATGTCAGATACAGTATGTGGTACCCGTTCTTTCTAATGTTGGTGTACAGACTGGCAATCCCCAAGTGGGTCCAATCCTTTCCGACCATTGTGAAAATGTGCCCAAGAGCATCAGACCTAGAAGTAAGTATCGGTTAATGACAGACTGAAAATGTTCACCATGGACGATTCTGCTTACTTGGTAATTGTACCATCGATATCAGAAATCACAATCTTACAGGTATAGTCATAGAGGAAGAGTTTGGCAGAAACGCTTGCGCCTCCTTGGTTGACAGAGAAGGTGATAGTGTTTGCTCCTTTATTCAAATTGAGGTGTTTCTGCAAAATGAACGAATATTAGAAAGTGAGATTACCATGTCGACGTCTAAAGCACAACTACCAGTTGCTCAGATGTCAATCGCAACGATTTGGCAAACTTGGCAGGAAATTTCTGTTCCTGCACAGGCGATTCAGGTTGCTTAGGAGGCTCCTGTGGAACGGTTGCCTTTTCTTTCCGCTCCAGTTTGACATCGGTCTCTACTTTTACTTTGCCCTCCTATTGTATACGACAATTCAAGTGAGCACGCCTGCCTGATTCTAATCAAGTGCGCGACAGAAGATTACCGGATCGATGTTGGTAATTTTGCTGGACGAAGACCTGCTCCACCATGACTTCAATTGGTTGAAACTGTACCGACGATTGTCAGCGGTCGCTTGGCCTGGTCCCTGCTGTTGGGCAAGCCGTTGTACAAGGTCCTCCGGAAGAGGTTTCTTGAACGCTATGTTGGCCATGAGCATTGGGCCCGCCATCGCCCAGCTGTAGTAACTGAAGAGTGCATTTGTAATCTGATCCACATCAGAAGCGGAATAGATATGATGTGATACTTACTTGCCGTTGATCCTGAACACCAAATTCGGGTCCATCAACAATTCTGGGTTTTTACAGAATGACTCAAAGGTGATGAGATTCTTTTGGAATAACTCTTCCCCTTCCTATGACAGATGATCGGGATGAGCATCTCACACTCTTTCCAAGCTGTTATAGTCCCCCTCAGCCCTACCTCTGGCTGAACAGAGCGCATTTTGTCATATCCACAAAGTGACATCTCCATGTCCACATCAGCATTAAAAGCAAAGCTCAAAGGCACCTCGGGTCCATTGGCAAGGTCTGACTCATGGGGTACAGCAGCAGGTTCGGGTGATTGAGCAGGTTCCGAAACAAGTTCAGGGGATCCTGCCCTGTCAGGGGAAAACGACCGATTTGGCAAGCCTGCCAAATAGCTGTTGACTTTTTCATCGACCGACATAGATGATAGGGGTTCAGCGCTCTTTGTTCTATCTCTTCGCAGCGGAGTCTCTGCGTCATCCGCCTTATCGTCCGCGTTCTTTTTGGGCAAGCCGCCCCATCGCCAACTCCATCCTCGCCTTCTCTGCTCCTTCTTTTCTGCCTCATAGTCCTTATACTAGTGAATGATGCATGCGCATGTGAATTTAGAAGTCTAAATATTCGATGGTTGCTTGCATGGATGGATGAACAAACCTCGACTTCGGTGTCACTTAAGGGGCCTGTATTAGCTCGCTTAATATAACCTCCCGGCATTCTACAAATCAATCCGATTAACTAATGTCAAATAACTGTGCCGCAACAAGGACATACTGTGTGCCTTCCTCGTTCTCAGTCACTATAACAGTAGTACCTGGGCAACAAACATGAGTATTTCTCTCCCAAATCCCATGACCGGTGCATTGCATACCATTGTCTGCAGAGACTTCCTGAATCATCTGCATTGACGATGCTCGACTATGGCCGCCACGTTTCAGCTCACCAGAATCCGCTGCGAAAGGGAGGGACTTTGAATGGGGCAATTTGGGCTTTTCCAGTTCCACTTGCGGCACCGGCGGTTTAGAAAGTTTCGATGTAGAGAGCACATGTGCGTGAAGGGGAACAACGGGAACATGTGATCCGAGAGCGGCGTTTACGTTCTTGGCGGTCTTAACCATTGGGTCGTCGGTCAGAACTTAAATAAACAATGGAATATAATTGATTAAACGGATTTTGAAAACAGATAAAAGCAAGCCTTCGAACGAAGATTTACCAGAGCTGGGTGTGGGTAATGCGCTGGGAGCATGACTCTCCACCAGGATCTCTGGCAGAGCCGCGGCTGTCTGTGGGCTTGCTTGGGCCAAAGACGCAGGAGTTTCCGCAGGTTGCTCAGCTTTGGTGGGCTTTTGAGTTTCTTCGGCTTCGACGGATACGACCTGCGAAGTGAAGATAGAGCCGTCCAGATTGATCTCATCAATAGTTCTGATATGTACAGTCGTCGACCTCTCTATATCCACTTGCTTAGACTCGCTCCCCAAACTGGCACCTACTGGATCAGATTCGTCCACTACGGATGGAGCTGTTTCCACGACTCCATCTTGATTCGGGTCCTTGTCGTTTTCCCCCTGCACCATACCGACAAGATGGGCATCAGCGGCAAACGATTGTGTTACGTCCTCTGCATCAATGGGGCGGTCCGATCCTTTTGTTTTCCCTGAAGATTTGGATGATCGCCGAAGATGCCTGCTTGTGTCCGTGTTGCTGTCAGAAGTGGCTCCATTCAGCAGGGCATTCTGTTGCGGGTGGAGTTGATCCCCTGTCTTGGTTTTAGTCCCTTTGCTCGTTGAATGTCCTTTTCTCATTTTCCGGAATAATCCCAAATAGGTGAGCATCGTGGGGAAACGCTTGAACAACATCGTCCGCGTCGATGGGTAGCTCTGATCCCTTCGCGGAAGCTTTCGATGACGCAGGCTTGGCATGAGCCTCTGACGTGTTTAGCCTGTCTCCATTCTGTCTATTCTCGATTGACCCAGCAGTGGCGCCCTGGCTGGCGTCTGTGACTGGGTATTCGTCCTCACCAATATCTGTCAAAGCCATTAATTATCAAAGCGGTTGATAATCAGTACCTAGCCTTTGACAAGTACCTGATCCATGGGCACTGACATAGCCGTTCGCTAAAGACATACGGCAAAAGAATTAAGAACACCGCTACGTTCCAGTCTCGTACTTGAGCGAGGCATACCAGTGGGTGTGATGGGTTCGCCGTTAGCAGCGGCGGTCTCCGGGATAGTCGTGGCGTTTAGGTCAAGAGGTTCAACATTCACCTATAATGAATCACGAGATATGAACATAAATAAAGGATTGTTTATGTCTGACGACCTATCACATACCTCGTGCTTCAATGGTTGCTGGATTGGCGAAGTCGCATATTCAGAGGGAACCGGATTATCCGTCTCAACGACAAAGAAAGCTTCGCCGGCTTCTCCGACCTTCATAAGAAGGTCGGTTGGCCTGCCATTGATGCTAACCTCGACCGCCTTATCGTGGGGCCGCAAAAGCTTGAGCTTGCCAAATCTCACGTGAAACGGGGAGCACACCAGTTCGCCATCTGGGTGCTGTACCACTACGACATCGATGGCACCAGATAATGTAGCTGGGTTGACCTCGCTGTAGAAGGCGCTGACGGTGCTGACGGCCGAGACCACCTGTCAATGAAACCCGAGGGAGAAGGGTCCAAGAAGAGTGTTCAGCTTGACGGAGGCTGAGACAAGGTCCAACGATACATACCTTTCCAGCGGCGAATGCAACGACAGAAGTCATTTTTCCTTGGTGTTTACAGGAATAACAGTCTTCGTTTTTGGTAATGAGGCTTCAAGTCTTTAAATGTCCATTTGCCAGAAACAAGGCCAAACCAATTCACCCAAATTCCCGCAGAGAAGGAAAGGTGACAAGATGTAGCTTTGTAACCCAAATTCCAGTCGTAGATTGAGGCCGTGCCAAATTGGAATGACGAAAATGAAATGGGGAAAACGTTGCGTTGGCTGTTTGCGGGAGTCGGAACCTGGCGGGACGCTTGCTTGGGTGAGTCATTTAACCATTCCGAGCAGGAATCACATGATCTCATCGATTCGCAGGCAGCGACTTGCGAACGGCCGACTTTGCCAAGGAAGGAAGATCTGGAAATCTTCGGGATGGTCCGCCTAAAGAACCGCTACCTCCTCTTCAATCTCCACTTTGATCCTTCGACGCCGCCGTCGGTGGACACTGCGATCAACGGGGGGACGATTAACAATTCTCTCAAAGACAGCTTAGAACTCAACTTTGGAGATTATGGGATAGGGATCGCGTCCTTCACAGTAAAATACTACTCGCCTCACACGCAAACGGGCATTATACGCTGCGCAAGAGAGTCGTATCAAATGCTGTGGGCGGCCTTATCGTTTATCACAAAGATTAGGAACAGACCATGTATCTTTTGTGTGGTTCACTTGGGTGGGACGATAAAGAGTGTTCAACAGGTGGCCCTCAAGCGGGATAGGGAAGCTTTGGAGATGATGGTGAAGAAGGGCGTGTTGGACGTGACCATGGTGGATGCCCTTGTGAAAAAGGCTCATGAAGACATCATGGCGTTGGAAATTTGACGAGTCCTGCGTGCCGGCTCTCTCCGGGTTCTTTCGGACCGCAACAAGCATTCAACGTCCTACCCCAGCTTTCGGCCGCAGCTCGCCGATTGACTAGCTTGCAGAGGCTATCACACCGGAAGCGCAACTGTGGGCAGATCTGCTGCGAATATGCAGCGTTCGTATCTCGTCAGCTATGGGACTTTGACTGCGTCACGGCAAAGTCTAATCTAGCTATTCCGATTACTATATAGCAGGTCACCGAGGCATAATTCCAATCCAACGATCAATTTGTCCTGATCACATGCAAAAGCACCTCGACAAAAGAAAAACTATGTTATATACATCACATGTCGGTAGTTTAGGAAGAGATACCAAAAATGGCCAGTGCCTACTACAAAGGAAGGCTCCCACTTTGGCAGTTTACAAAAAATAATTACTTCGCGGCTTTCTTCCGTCTTGCCGCAGTAGCTCTGGTTACTTTCTTTTCTTCAGCAGCCCCATAAAAAGATTCTGTCGGAATTGATATGGGTTTGCTGTCCGCGTTGCTTTCAGTGTCAGCTTTTGGGTCATGATTTTCCTTGGTTGATGCTCTCGTTTGCTGCTTTGCTCTCGAGGTGACGCCCTTGGTCGTTCGCTTCCCATCTGGGACGTCATCCACAGGTGCCTCTTTTGTATCAGCTTCTGCTACTTGTTTGTTGTCCGTCTTGGTCTTTGCAGCTGCCCGTCGTAAACCGCCTTTTCGCGAGGTTTGTTCTATTGACGGTTGGTCTATAGGCTCGGCCTCAGCCAGCGCATTTTCATCTGTTCTTTCCTCCATTGCCTTTCTGGCTCTGGTAACCGCCCTGCCTTTACCCTTAACCTCAACTTCAGGCTGAGTTTCAGTGTCAGCCTGAGTTGATGGATTCTCTTTGAGGTCTTTCTCCTGCTCGCTTGCAGCCTTGTTCTCTGTAGCAGCAGCCCTTCTTCTGCCCCTTCTTGCACGCTCAGGTTCCACATCGGCAGGTGTCGGAATTGGCATCGGCTCTTCCGCTGCAACGTCCTCACTTGGATTATTCTCGCCGAAGTCTTCCACAGCGGCTTTGGTTTTGGCCGCGGGTCTACCTCTAAGCTTTTTGGTCATCTCTGATGGGGTAGATGGAGCTTGTGCTTCTACAAATTCTGGAGCATCATCGACATTTGGGATTGTCTTGTCCTCGCTCTTGCCTTCCTTGGTCTTGGTTCTTTTTCCACCCGCTCTAGTCCGGACCTTTACACTAGCATCGGATGGTTTCTCTTCGGCCTCTGGAACAATGGACGGCGGCACTGGCTCGATTGTCACATCCGTTGCATGAGTATCGACGGGTGTAGAGTTTTCAACTGCTGCGCTCTCTTCCATTAGGGTTTTCGCCTTCGAAGCAGCTCTTCCCCTCTTCCGTCTAACAGCCACCGGCTGATGATCTTCAGTGGTGGAGCCGGATGGTACAGACTCCACAGTGCTTTGCTGCAACCCGTCCGCGGCCTCTGCTTCCACCGCTTCTTGTTGTTTAGGTTGCCTAGCTTTGGCATTGCGCATACCGCGCACCTTTCCTTCAACTTCAGTGTCTTGCTGAACAACTTCTGCCGTAGTGGACGGCGGGGCTGACTCTCCCGACTCTAACGAAAGAGCTTCTACGTCTTCTTTTCTGGCCTCTTCCTTTTTCACATCTTCGGACTTTTTTGCAACCGCCCTTCCCCGCGACTTAGCTTTGGGTGCCGGTTGCGAATCAGTTGGGTCTGCTGGTGTGGTTTCGTGATCTTCGCATTCGATCGATGCGTGTTCAAGATCTGCGTCATTGCTCGTCTCTCTGTTCTTCTGGGCCTTTGCGGCGGCCCGGCCTCGACGTCGTTTCCCGATACCTTGTGCATCAACGGGTTGCTCAGCAGAGTCTTCGACGGAAGGTATCTCAACAACTGGTTCAAGGTTCGCCTCTTTTGCGAGTTCCTTGCTCTTGGCGTTGGCAGCTTTCCTATCTGTGTCCTCCGCGTGTTCAGCCACCGTCTCTGTCGAGGTAGGGACGGTAGGCTGTTCATCTGTTACTGGAACTCGAGTAGTTCCAGTGTCGGTATGACTGCTACCCTGCTTTCCTTTGTTCATGCTTCTCCTTCTTCCACGTCTTCCAACTTTAGGCTGTTCAATCACTTGATCAGTAGCATCTTTAACTTCCAGTTCCTGTACCATCGCGTTCGCAGTCTCCACGCTCATATTCTGTTCCGTTTCGATGTTGGCATTGCCCTTTGCCTCACCCTTCGTTTCATCATCTCCTTCCTGCTCAACGACCACTTCAGTGGAGCGTGCCTGATCCTTTAATACCGCATCCACTGAGTGCACATCAGTGGTCTCCTCCTTTCTCGCTCTCGCAGCGCCTCTTCTACTCTTTCTTGGTTGAGGTGGCTCGCTACGGGTTTCTACGGAAGCTGAGAGCACAGAATCGGTGGTTGAACTTTCTGCTGCGGCCGTCTCTTCTTGAGCAGCTTGAGGGCCAAGTGTTGTCGCCTGCGGGCTATCCGTCCGACCTCTTCCTTCAACTTCACGCTGCTCATCAGCAGTTTCCGCATGTGGTTGCGGCGAATTTACTGATGGATCAGTCACATCTTCGGTCCGAGTTTCAGCTCCGGTGCAAGTGTCCTCCTTCATATCCGTGGCAGCCTTTCGAGGTCGACCTCTTTTTCTGACCTGAGTCTTGTCATTGAGAGTCGACTTACTCAAGGATTCAGGAGCTTCAGCCGTCGCAGCTTTAATTGCAGGTGCCTCAGCCGGTGAATTCATGTCCTCTGTCGTGTTTTTGGCAACCTTGGGAGGTCGACCTCTCCTTCTAACTGGAGTCTTCTCATCATTGGTTGATGCATCCGTCGCCTCGATGCGGACTTCAGCGATCGTATCCTTCGACGCTGAGTTTATGTCCTCCGTCGTATTCCTGGTCACCTTTGGTGGCCGGCCTCGCTTTCTGACCTGAGCGTTGTCACCGAGACCTGCTGTACCTATGATGTCCGCAGTTTTAACTATGACATCGTCTGGCACGGCCCCTGCACTCGTATCCTCCTCCGTATCGTTGACAACCTTTGGAGGGTGGCTTCTTTTACTGCCCCGACCTTTTTCACCAACGGCTGGTGTATCCACAGGTTTTGGTGATTCAATCGTCGCATCTTTTGTTGCAGGGGTCTCAGTCACGTCGATTTGCGTGCTCTTGGTAACTTTTGGAGGTCGGCCTCGTCTTTTGACTTTAGGGGTTCCTTCAATGGTCAATGGACCTGGTTGCACATCAGCTGCTGATTCAGCTGTCGGATCTTCTGTTGCGGGAGTCTCGGTCTCGGCTCGCGAGCTTATATTCTCGTCCGTGACCAGTATACCACTTTTTTCGAATTCAATCTGGTCCTCAGTGGTAGACTCAACTCCATCAGTTACATCGGCGACAGAAATCTCAGTTTTGGAGCTCTGCTCGTCTTCCGTGATGGTGACAACCGCCGGCAATCGATCACCCTTCTCCGGTTTAGGCAGTTCGATGGCATCAGTAGGCATGGACGGAGCTCCTTGCTCTGTGATAATATCCAGCGCGGATCCTTCAGTCCCGCTAAGCTCAGTCTTTGGCTTCGCGGTCTTCGCGGAACCCCGCTTTCGGCCGCGTCTCTTATTGTCGGAGGGCTCTTCGGCACTTTCAGCAGGGCTAGATGGTGGAGGCTGGGCTTCCACTGCGAGGGTTTCACTACCTTCCTGCACGTCATCAGGTTTGATCCTATCAGTGGATTTCTTCCTTCTACTACTCTTTCTGCTTTCCGAAACTGTCGCGGCGACGTGTGCGGCACCAGCAGAAGGCTCGGTTTCAATTTGAGCAACGCCAAACTCTCCATTCTCTCCATCCCTCTGCTTTGTCGACTCAATGGCGTCTGAGGTGACCGGCACTTTCCCATCTCCACCATCATTTTCCACTATTTCTGAAATAGAAGGAATGGATTGGAATGCCAAGGTATCCACATCGCCATTCTCAATATCCGAGTTCTTATCCTCTTCTGCCTCCCCAGCATTACCAGTTTCTCTGGTGTTTCCATGCTTTCCCGGATCTTGAAGAACAGGCTCAGACTCACTGGTTTGGGCGAGTTCGCTGGCGACTCTCAACGCCTCTTCCGCTTCCCGTCGTAAATGTTCCTGCGATTTAAGAATGGACCGCTTTCCGACTTCCCTTGAGAGCAGCACTTGCCTGCCCCGTACTACGGGTGAATTGATCGGAAGAGTTTCATCGAAGACCTCGGGAGACAGCTTTAAGGACTAGAATTAGTATCAATGAAATGAATTTGAAGTGACAAAGTTCTTACCGGAGGTCCAAAGGTAACGCCCTTTTTCGATTTTGAACTCAGGCTTCGACCAGGCGTGAGCAGATCGCTTACCGGAGGAGTTAAGGCAGCGGAGCCCTCGTCAGCCTGGTTCGCGTGCTCATCAGTCTCTTGCGAGCACGATGGATTTTTGTCGTCGTCGTCTACTTCAATCTCCTGGATTCTGTCGGTAGCGGGGGTCTCCTGCGCAAGTGTACCGTCGGGAATAACCTCGTCCGGGGACAGGTTTGCGTTGAGAAGAGAGACGTTGTCGCTCTCTTCCCGCTTAGCGTCCTGGAGGTTCTCCTCGGCAGCCTGACCCTCGAGGACAATTAGAGGATTCGATATCGGAACAAAGGGAGAGGTTGACGGTTGATCTTCGGGGACATCTTCTGGACTCTTTCTCGGAGGTGTATCACCGGTAGATGTGGGCGATTGTGTCAACACCTTTGCTGTCGGACTCGTCGCATGCTCCACTGTATCGACCGCTTTCGGCAGAGGGCTGGGCGGCTTGGTGGAAGGTAGACGCTTTGGAGTGCTGTCCGAAGTGGTTGCTTTTGTGGAAAGGCTTGTATCTGAATCAGCAGGTTCACGTTCGTCGCCGGTGTGGGAAGGAGAACTTGGCGGCGATTTGCGCTTATCATCGCATGACTTATTTTCGGGAGGGATCGGGTGATCAGTAGGCTTCGCGTTGGTTATGCTCCTCAGCGTGGGCTCACTGTCCGCAAGGCTCAGATCTTTCAAAGACGGATGCACCGCGTAACCAAATAAAGTTGAGGCGCGTCGAGGAGCCGTAACCCCGGCAGCTCCCCGCCTCTGTTCTTTAGCGGGCACACTCTTCGCACCGGCGGCTACACCCTGACGCCGGGAGTTTGGAGTGTTGGTCTTGCCCGTCGCTTGAGGCGGCTTGACTGGCTGATTGGTGGCGGTTAGTACTTTGTCCATTTGCTGCCAAAAAGACCCATCAGTGGATGTGGATGTATTTTGGAGCGTGGATTTTGTTGCAGGGCGTACGGAACGAGCAGCTCCAGTTTTAATGAGAGTTGGAAGGCTGCTCGCTGAAAGTGTTTTGCGGGCACGTGAGCGGTCGATCCGTCGTGGTGCTGGGTCGTCAGCAGCAGTCGCAATGCTTTTAGACGCCATTAGCTCCCCATTGGCAGTTTCCTTTCTTCCCACTTGCGCTTTTGCCTCAGACGGGGTTCCACTTGTCCCTGCGACATTCACATCAGTCGCACGATCAACATAAACGCATTTCAACGTCCTCTCCAGTAGACTGTCTGATTGTGCTTTTGAAGAACTTTCCCCCAGTTCCTGCGCCCGCTGCAGCAAATCTTGTAGCTTTCCTGCCAAATCTTCGCCACCCAGATCTACACAGTCCGCCGGCACCTTGATGCCTTTAACCGTCACGTTATCCATCGAAACGTCACTTTCAGTAGGTCCCTCATGTATATGCAAGGAAATCAGTATGTTGAGAGTATCTCCTGGAGCTATGGATCCAGTAGCTGGGGAGATTCGGTAGCGGTCTGGAGCATTGGTCTTGACGTTAATGTATATCGATGCATCCGACAAGGTATTGGTCACAGAAAGAGATTTTGTAGCAACTGATGCACATGGTCGTTGGAATTCCAATTCTTCCGCGGGAAAAATGTGAAGGGGTGAACCGGACAGCGCATTGTTTGTTTGTCGGGAGTCATGCGCAAATCCTGTGGATGGGACACCAGTTGAATTCTCAAAGCGAAATCGTCGGCCTTGTATGTCAATGACATCCCCATTTTTGAGCAAAACTTTTCTTTGCAAAGCTATAGTTTCCTTATTCACCAAAAGACCCTGTGGGCTTCGGCAAGTTACAGTCACCTGGGATGTAATGTGAGGCCGCGAGCAATTATTGGACGTGAAATGGAAGACTTTTTTCCAGCAAACATACTCTGCGAGTCTTCTTGTCCACCTGTAGTACTGCGTGAACTCTGCTCACAGTGAGGAGGCGAATTTTGATGTCGCAGCTCAAATCTCTTTCTTGGCCACAACTGTCAGGACCCACACAGTGCAAGTCGCCACGGCCGCAATAATGAAAACTTTGTCCTTACCTTCCGATAGTGAAATCGGATTGAGTGATGCGCATAAATCTGTCGTTGAAGACCATGAAAGTGAGTTACTGTTGCGATTTTGCAAATCAACATTAATGTCTCCGCGTGCGCTTCCTACCCAGCATCTTCGCCAGTTTTTCGGATGGCGACAACTCTGCCATAGTCGACATCTTCTGCGTGGCTTGACTCCATGGTGAACCCCAAGCCTTTGATTTGGTCCAGCAACGGAAGGCCTCGACGGGGGTTCGTCGTCACGTCCAACCCGGCTCGAAAGGTTGAGAGTGTTCGCGTTCAGGACCAGCGCGACGAAAGTCATGTCCGAAAGTCCGATTTTGTTTTCACGTGATGTATAAGCCACTTCGCGACTGTTTCAGGAAGCCACGCTTTGCAACTTGCCATTCCCCACCGACGAACTCTTGCATAGACAACAGGCATCAACCGCAGGATGACAGTCGCAACTTGTGAGCACAGTGTTATGGGAAAAGGGAAGACTGTTCTCGTGAACACATCAAATGCCCATAAAAAAGCGGAATTTCAGCGGTATCTATCCCCAATGGAAGTCAAAAGTACAACAATAGATATCCGCGAACCAGTGTCCTCCGACCCTTTTACAATCGTTCAATACAAGGCTTCCCAATTTCCAGCTGATGCGCCCGTTCTTGTAGACGATACTAGCTTAGATATTGAAGGTATGCAGATAGGACCGAACGTCAAATGGCTGTTGGGCGAGTTGCCGAACATTGCCAATGGAACTCGCGCCGCCTTCGTTTGCATTCTTGGAATACGTCATGAGAATCACATTCACCTGTACCGGTCCAGCACTCCTGGACAAATTGTTCAGCCTCCGAGGGGAAAAGACTATGGGTTTCGCGCCTACTTTCAACCGGACGGATGTGCCTTAACCATGGGAGAACAAATCTTTGACGAGTTCAATGCTCGATACCATTCTGTTGAAAAGTTCAAAAACAATAAGCCTACTGAAGTTAGATGCGTTGTGGAAACGTGGGAAGGTGACTTCCAAACTGACTGAATGTCGGGACGTTATCTAGATTAGACATTGATCAGAAGAGCCTTGCGAGTGGAGATATGAAACTCTGGATTCTGTTGCTGGTCCGGTCGGGCAGGCAGTGGGAGTAACAGTGTTGTACTGTTACCCGGGCTGGAAAACGCTGTCACCTGTTCGTTGACCCGGTCGATGACTGAAAGCTACAGAAGGCAGATTGATGAGACACATAATCGAGGTGGTACCTCTGCACAGAAGCGGCTGTACATATCAGTAGCCCGACCATCATTACCAGATAATGGTCGTTCATGAACCTTCAGGGCTATTAGGTGTTTGGAATATCTTAGAAACGAGATAGAGAACAGGTGGTGGGGTTATGACATGATGACCTTTGGCTGATCAATATATTTGGGAGTATTTGAAACTTTCAATGTCAATTACCAAGTCCTTTCCATGTAGTCCAGCGAAATCTATAAATGTTCATTCATTCCCTTTGTAGAATCGAGCCTGGCTTGATCTTTGTTGATCTGGGTACTTGTCATGGCACATTGATTCTTGATGGGACCTGTTCTTGTGATTTCCCTTGCTTCGTCCTTCGAATGACATGAGCAGGCGATGCCATAGCGGAGATGTCCAAATCAAAAGCCTCGTCTGCTAAATGGGAAAGTCTTTGCACCAATGTTGACGCTATTTCCAACCTTACTATAAAGGCGCGACAAATTATCCACTTGAAAGTGACGTTCACCCTCGAACATACACATCCGCAGTATAGCGAAAAATAAAATACATTGCCATTACGAACCCATTCGCTATGATGTTAACTGTCGTGGATCACTAAAAAAAACCTCCGACCATTAAAGACGTTTAAATCCCTGAACCCTCAAGATTTGGGATTTTCGGGCATTCCGCCGTGTTTGTCATAGCCGCGTTTGTCTCGTGGTTGCTTCTCTTCCAGATAACCGATATAATCGACAGTATGGTGCAGCTAACGGAAGCACAGGTCTTGGGTAGAGCTAGAGGCGCTTCAAAGAAAACCATTACTGATCTAGGTAAGCAGAATACGACTAGTTTCTTTGGCTTTCTGTCATTTTGACTGTATGTTTGTTGCAAGCGAGTATAAGAAATTTGAACTTGTGGGGCCAAAACTTGACCGATGTAACAGTTCTTCAGCGACTAGTCAACTTGGAAGTTCTTTCACTGGCCATAAAGTAAGCAGCATGTAAGACACGACTTCCACTCGCTGCACAATCTGACCTAACGTTTGTATTCGCGTAAGTTCTTTGACCTCCCTGGCACCATTTCGAAACCTGACAAATTTGATAGAATTGTATCTTCGCCGTAATAATGTATCCGATCCTGGAGAGCTGTACCACTTGCGCAACCTGTCCAAGCTGCGTGTCTTGTGGTTGAGCGAGAATCCGATCGCTCAGCGGCCTGATTACCGGCAGATGGTGCTGCGTCTACTACCTCAGCTTCGGAAATTGGACGATCGGGATGTAACAGATCGCGAGCGGGAGGAGGTGCTTGCCATGGGACCGGTCACCAATGGTGAGTTGAATGCAAGCTCGATCGGCTTTCTTATCAAGTGACCTTTTACCCACTTTTGAAACTGGTCTTTTTCAAGCTTCCCCTTCTCGGCCATCACCATCGTCAGCAGCTCCGACTCCTACCTGGATGCGTGACGAACCCCGGGAACGGGAGGAGCAACATATCCGGGGGTCTGGACTGGAGGTTGTGGGGATGCCCCATCAAAACCCGGATGGACGCATCGGCCGTCCACGACGGCGGACGGATGATGACCAATCAGTTTTTACGAGTCCTACTGCAGTACATGAGGTATGCTGCTTTTCAACATAGGGGGACTACACAATGTTCTGAGCATTACGTTCGATTTAGAAATTTAGCAGCTCAGCATATGGAGCAGGCGGAATTCCTCCAAATCTGGGAGCCGGCCAGAAACAGCATTCTCCAGCAACAAAGCAAGAGCGGTTTCCTACGCCTCCAAGGACGAACCCTCAAAACAAGGGTGATATACGGCCATCTGATGCTGTTCAAAAGCGGAGGCCGACGTGGCTGGTTCACGCTGAAGAGGTAAAGATTACTAGCAGACTGAAGCTCGCGAGAGATGATTTATTAATGGATTTTTTATTTTTAGTTGGGTCAAGTAAAGGATAGAATACGCGCCGCTTCATTAGACGCTCAAGTGGCCGAAAGTAGTAGAGAAGATGAGGATGACAGCCGCAAATCGACGACGGTATGTGAGGAAACAAAGTCGTGCACATTAACGCATGTCCACTAACTAGCTCTAGCCTTTACAGCAGAATAACATATTATTTGCGATACTTTCGCTAATCAAAGAGCTGGATAATCCGTCTCTCCACGTCGTTGGGCATGAGGTGCAGCGCATAATGGCGGAGAAGATTACGTAATATGTCCGGACGTTTTCGGACAAGGTTGTAAATCCGCCAAAAGATCCCTGCTTTTATGCCATTTAGAAATTCTGCTAGTTTGTCGACCTCCAGCCTTCACCTTTGGCCAATCACATTGTCAACCCATTCTTAATGGCACAGAGAATCTGTATACAGAGGACCCCAGATACCCCAGCAGGAGCATCCGATACCCTTTCCACAACTGTAGTAGTACGACTTCCACATCCCAGAACAGGTTGGCTAAAGCCTGACTCTGTAATTGAAAACGCTTCGCCCGACACGAGGGCATTTTCTGACATCTACTTGCAGGAGATGCTACTTGTTTCATTATTCGGGAGGAAGAGCCTTGTTTGCTCGAGATGCAGCTGGTAGACTCGGAGGAAAGTGCTTCGTGGTTTGTAGACAACTTGGTTCAGAAAGGTAACATGACGCATGAGGCAGCCGCCTTACCATCGAATGCAGGTCTTATTTCTAATTACCGGCAAACGCAGATGGAAGCTTGTACATATTTTCTCCTTTTGATCCCCTATTTCTACTTCTTCCAATTTTGGAGAAGCGAAGGAAAAAGGTAGATGCGCCGTGCTAGAATCAATAGACAACCCAAAGACGATTCTCACAATATATCTGGCAGACATCAGAATCCCCTGGCATCTTCCTTACGTTGGACGATCTGTTGCACGATGAAACGTACATATCATTGACTAGGCTACACGGCCTCAAAAATCTGCCCGAGAAGCTCCTCGTTATTTGTGACTCTAATGGTGCGTTGAAGATTCGGTACTCTGGACAGAGAATCTGTGCCAGGAATGCCAAATTGACACATTGAATCCAGTTCCGGCTCCAGGAATGCAGTTCTTCAGATTGAACGATGATAAAACATTGTCATGGTTGAAGGCAAAGGTGTGCATAAACTTTGGACATCATCTGTTGACAATGTCGTCCTGATCGCTATTATGTGCAGGCTACACGATTGTTGACAAGATACAACGACTATCAAATGTTGGAAAGGTTTACAAGCGGCGAGAAACACATGGATGAGACTCAAAAACATGGCAGGTATCCACATGTTTGAGAAACACTTATTCTCTGCGTGATCGCTCATTGTCATCGATCTAACTTCAGACTCGCGATTACGGGTTGTCATCCGCATACTGGGTGACTGTCTTCCACCGTCTTGGATTGAAAAACTAAGAGAATCTTATGGGTAGGCCGATATTCTATTTTTACCAGAAACTGCTTATGAGTGTAGGCTGACTTCAGATATTAGTTTCAAAGACGAACAGGAAGCATCAGATTATGTCTACTTTGATAACGTGGTGAAGCGACCTCTTTCACAGAAGAATACGGCAGACGCCGATCATCCTACCGCGAAGGTATTCAACCCTGTATCTATGATGGTAGTGTTTCTGATGCTTACAAGCTTTTCCAGAAAAAGAAGCTAACGGTGGGCCAGCGCTCATTAGCGAAAGCAAATAGAGAAGGAATGAAAAGTATATCCAGCTTCTTCAAAAAATAGACTTATCATTTTCAGTATCCAAATTCATGTAAGGTCATAACAATTGAGATAAATACAAACATTGACCCTTTCAACATGGCCGTAATTGCCACATCGATGCCCAACAATCCGTCCTAACTCACAAATCCGTATGTCGACATCGAGACCATTGGAAATTTCCTCCAATTAGTTGGTATGCCCATCATGGCAAGCTGTACAACTGGCAGAATACTGGCCAAAGACGCAAACACCTTGGCCCTAAAAGCAGCGCTGTTTGACACTCGTAAGCACGATCAGGCATGTGACCGCACGTGATTCGACTCTTGTTGCGCAGCAGATCTGACCCAACGACTCGACAGGCCATGGCAATGCCCAAAACGCAATCGACAAGCCGGTGCAGCACCATGACTAACAATAAAACTGATGCCAACGTCCAAGTTTGACGGAGACTCAATCCCGACAAGTGCCTTTCAGGTTCCTTCAGGTTCAAGTGGGGCGGAGATCACGGAGGCAGACACAAGTCAAAGTGTGGAGTGTAACAATTCTTGTGGAAAAAGCTTTATGAGTGAGGCACCAAGCGAAACTACCCTACAGCACACATTTTATCCACCCGCACCATCAAAGTGCTTGTCACGATACGGTATGGACAGTGTGAGCTCGGAATTCCAACCATTGCCCCACTTGTCGAGCAGGATACTCCAACCCAGTCCGCACAATTGCTCGCACAGTCCTTTACTCTCGTTGACCGGAAAGGTATAACTCACTCTACCCTTCCTGCAGTCGGTAAGGTGATACTAATGTGACTGTCAAACCAGAGTTCTACAATTGCACAGCAGGCCACGCCAAATATTTCCTATCCATACCAGTACAATGAACAGTTGGAGGAGTTAAGGGAGGAAAACGGACTTCTGAAATGCTATCTACAAGGCATGGCAGCCAGTCCATTGGCAGCTGTCGATCCCAATCAACCAGCGGCGCCGTTGGAGGTAGGGACAACAGGAATTGACCTTATTCCTGATCAAGCTAACTGATGAGGGCCTTGAAGGACAAAGATAAACAAATACAGGAACTCACAAAAACTGTGGACCTGCTCAAGATTCAGATCAGTGCCTTTGAAAGGATAAATGACATTCGAGAAGGCCAAGTCTCAAGTCCTGATAAAGAAATGAAACATTTGTCCATGGTGACCGCTCGGGAAGATCTCCTTACGTGGTACGCAGCTGCAATGATGCATACGGAATGTGGCAGATTACAAAGTTTGCAAAGGACACAGCTGGCGACGAAAAGTGTTCGAGCTTCTTGTACACAATAAGCTGCAGATGGCAGAATTCGATCAGGATAGGCGCGCTTGGGAAGTGAAGGTAGAATGCTTGTCGCTGAATAAGAACGGACATACCTTCATCCTTACGACTAACATTTCATAGCTAGGTGAACAGCGCCAAGAAAATGAGGCGTTGCAGCAGCAACTGCAAATTTCCGCTGAATTGCTCCGAATCAAGGAAGCTTCTCTGGAGCTAGAGCGCGATACTCGGAAAGTAGGTCGACTGTTGCAGTCCAAAATGACCACCAGACGCTAACTATCTTACAGCGAATCGCAACTGAAGTGCAGGCCGTGGATGCACGCAGAATAGCAGAGCATAAGCATGTTCTCGAGACAGTAGAGAATTGGTCAGTGCCTCATGGACCTGCCATTGTTTCTTTATCTTTACACTTTCTTCCAGGATGGAACATGTCGGTTGTGGGATGCAGAACAGATTCGTACAGACTGCCGAAAGAAAGATGCATATGTTGTCAAGCCGGATTGAATTCGCTGCTGACAGGCTAGCGGTCGTCAGAAGTATGTATTTATCTAATCGATTACTGGTCAGGACTTCGAATACACTTGCGACTCACCTAAGACCAACAGGTATGCAAAAGCATAGGCCAGCACCTATTGACGATAAACATAAACAAGACGTGACCAATTTCTCACAAGGGCAACAGCAAATCATAGAAGAAGTATGTGCCAAAGTATCCTGTATGACGTCCCCGTTAACTAATGCTGTGTAACCGTTGGCATAGACGGAACCCGAAATACAGTTGCTTCACGACCGGATATCTCAACTCATTGAGGAGCGTGATGTCCTCATGAAGCGGGTTGATGAAGATGCAAAAGTGTTTGAAGAGGAGCGGCAAGAATGTAAGTGTATATCGGATGCCACATGTATAAGACATGCTCACCAACGGCACACACTGTAGTATTACGGAAAGTAGCCGACCTTGAAACATCTCAAGCAGACATGTGTGCCCGGCTAAATCAGATAACATTTGAACTTAAAGAAGAACAAGAGGTAGGCAGTCGCGACAATCAGACATCGGTCTCCAACGCTAACTACCAAGTTCAAGAAATCCAGAGTAATTTCCACCAACTTGGAGCAAAAAGAAAAGGAAATTGAAGACAGTAGACAAGATGTAAGCGCCTTGAGAGACAAACTGTCAAAGCTGAAGGTACAACACGAAAGAGGTAAGCTGGAGTGGATTTTCATGCCTTTCCGGATCACCTAAAAGTCAAATTAGAACTTCGTCGAACATATCGGCTTGGAGACGAAGGTGCGAAACTGCTGCGTGCCGAGTTTGAAGTTATCAGGAAGCAGCATATCAGAACCGGTAAGTCGAAGATCTTGTCGAATGTGAGCTGATCTAATATATCAACAATAGCCCAGGTCCTGAAAATAATGCAAGGCCCGAGACACCAAAACAAAGCCCGTACGGGAAGGTGCGGTGCCTATGGTGCACTGGAGCCCATCATAGATCGGCCCGAGCATCGCCCATGGCACCCGGCGGTAGAGCCACCACTTATCGCGTCATA